GGGAGTTTAAAATTTGTGGGCCAGATTGAGCTGGGAATAGAAAAGGGGCACACACAGACTGAAGTAGTCGAAGCTGTAATCAGGGCCGTCAGTCCAGGGCTGCCTCTGAGAGACATGTTAGAGATCAAACGTGGGCTGACCCTTAGTGCACTCCTCACCATCCTTAAAGGCCACTATCGGGTAGATAGTTTCACACAGCTTTACCACCAGCTTCCTAACATCTCGCAAGAGCCCAAAGAGACTGCCCTGAACTTTGTATTTTGTGCAAAAAGCAAACCCCCGTCCCCCTGAACAAAAGCTGAGAGTGAAAGGCTGCAAGAAATGCAGGGATGAGGGAACAGGTGAGAAATGTTCGCACTGTTTTAAATGTGGGCAGGAGGGCCACTTCTCCCGTGGATGCAGAACCATGCCGGGAAACGGGCAGGGATTACTGAGGTGGGGCCAGCAGTAGTCCAAGGCCGAGCGCCCCGAAATGAGCATTCACCACCCAGCACAGTCATGCAACCAACAACAGCCCTTGAAGAAAGAGCAGCTGGCGCCTCATCAGCTGTAAGTGTGGTTAACTATATACCCCTTCGACACCAGCCACAGTTGGTAAGCCTTGTAGGAAGCAGGTGTATAGTGGACTGTGTTATGGACAATTGCCCAGTTAGAGCCCTGTGGGACACAGGAGCGCAGTCCAGCATAGTGAATGACCCCTGGCGACTGAACCACCTCCCCCACACCGTTGTCAGACCCATCTCAGAGTTGTTGGAGGATGAGACACTGACAGTTTTTGCTGCTAATGACAAATATATCTGCTGGATTGAAGTCAGTTTCAGACTATGCAGTGACCCCACCACGATAAATGATTTACAAGTGCCAATACTAGTGTCGAGCGACCCAGCAGTTGCCAGTGACCCCATCATCGGCTACAACATCATTGAGGCCTTCATTAACAGAAACGAGGGAAAGACTAAAGGTGGAAAAAAACAGTCGGCACACAAAGTGAGTAAAGCCTTCGCAATAACAGTGAAAACTGCTCATCATGTGGTCAAGTTAATGCAGAGTGGTGATTCAGAGACTGGTGTAGTTCGTACCGGCAGAAAAAGAGTGCCCTTACCAGCTAACCAAGTCACCACTGTCTACATAAGAGCACATGTGAGTTCACGAGCACAAGGCCAACACATGATCTTTTCACCTGACATGCTTAATCCTCCACCAGAAGGCGTGATCTACAATGATGTACTGGTGCAGATCCCAGAAAGGAGAGTGCCATACATACCCATCTCTGTGACCAACACTACTGATCGCACCATCTGTCTGGACCGTCATAGAGTGATTGGACACCTGGAACCCGTCAAGACCGTATACACAACACCTGTGCAAATGAAAGAAAATGAGACAACAGCTGAAACAAAAGACGGAACAGAGACAAATTCCAGCGAAGCAAGTAGCACACCACAGTCAGATAATAAGCAGACAAGAAGACCAACCTCATGGGACCTGCCTGTGGATCTCTGCCATCTCTCAGAGGGACAACAGGAGGCTGTAAGGAGAGTGTTGCGGGAGGAATGTGAGGCCTTTGCCTATGACATTGATGATGTGGGCTGTATACCTTCTTTCAAGATGCACATCACCCTCCATTATACCAGCCCAGTGCAAAAGACCTACATGTCCGTCCCAAAGCCTCTTCACAATGAAGTTAAGGAGTACCTGCAGGTCTATTGAGAAGAGGGTGGATCACACCTTCCCGATCCCCTTATTCGTCACCTGTG